TGCCTACGGTAGCCTGATTGAAGTACTCTAACATTGTGGTACCTCCTTGTTATACTATCCTGCTACGCTCTACTTGTTGTCTGGCTACAGAGCTGTCTCTAGCCTGTCCCTCTCAGTTGCTTAGCTGTCGGGTTWGCRTRGATCGCTGGGACGACTAGAGCAATTCTTAGCTGTGAGCTTYGCTAGAAGTTAAATCCTGTAGTCCGTGGTCCGTAATAGCCGTAGACTTAGGCCCTGTATTTTTGTTCTAAATTCCGCTCATGGGCTAAAGTTCTGTATAGTTGCTGGTGCCAAACTAATAACTGATGCTCTGTAGGCTTTGCTTGGCTCCTATGCTGTAGTTGGTCAGTGTGTGGGTAGTGTGTGTAGGGTGCGGTGGTGGGGGGTATCGGTGGGAGGTGTGTGGAGGGTTCGGTGGTGAGGGGGATGTAGTAAAGGGGTTATTATTATTGTAACGAAGAAGTTGCGGGAGTAAAAGGAGGTTGGAGATAGCGGCGAGATGAAGGGGGATTGGCATTGGTCTTTGCTGGTGATAATCTTCTTCTCATTCTTCCATTCTTATTTCTTCTTCTTCCTTTGTCTATTCCTCTTTCCAAATTCTTTCATTTCAGTTGCAATTGAACGGCGTTGTCTTTCTTTGAGTTGTTGCACTCCAAGATAGCCAGGATCCTTACACTTAAAACAAATGTAAATGTTCTTTGAACCAGGTCATGAGATCAAGTCCTAGTGGATCTAATAATGTTGGGGGCTGCACCCCTTTCATCAAAATAAGGAGGGAAAAACACAAAACGAATGCCAGCCAATACAAGAGGAGATCACCCACCCTTCTTTCTTGTTTCTACGGTGGTGGTGCATGGCCGTTCTTAGTTGGTGGAGTGATTTGTCTGGTTAATTCCGTTAAAAAAGAGAAGATCACCTACCACAACCACTTTGCTTTCTCTCTCTCTTTGATGAAACAGAGCAGAAATATTGTGATGGAAAACCCCCCAAAACGGGAAAACTTCAAAAAGAAGTGCTTGCCTTTTTTTCACAAACACAAAAAATGCCCTAGTAATCCACAGGAATTGAACGCACATGGAATAACATAACTTACTGACAAAACGTGTGTTCGCCTTGGCAAAAAATGCATCCACTATAACCCCCATCCTTCCCTCCAAGCAGTTGAGAGACATTTCAAAAAGGCAGAAAGTGCTCTGCATCTGTGTCTGTGTGGTTGAGAAAACAGTGCCAACACATGTGTCTGTTTCATGCGCACTCACACTATGAAGGATGAACCAG